TCCTTTCTTTTTGTTTCTAGTATTGTGTTCTTGAGTCTGATGTTCAATTTTGGTTTGCAGCTTGCTGGAAAGAATTCTCACCACATCATTGAGGCAACCTTCAAAGCTTTTGCTAGGGCTCTTCGACAAGCAACAGAGTATGATCCTCGTCGCCGTGGAACCATACCGAGGTTTGATATTGTATTTTTTGAATCTGTACCGCATATTGAAGTATACTACAAAGTATAAATATGCTGTGCATCCTTGTTTCTTGCTATTATTTTCATGTTCAGGTGTGAGTAACAAATGTGATTGTGCACTGTAGTTCTTCTTGAACATCTTGTCCTTACTGTATGGCACTGAAAGGTTATAGTTGTTGTCTTGAAGAGATATATTCAGCATTTTTTCTCCAAACTCGATTGAAATAGAGGCATAAGTATGGACATGTGCATTCCATGATATTTGTTGTCACATAGATGTATGTATCATTTGAGGGTATGATTAATGTTTTTGCAACAAAATTAAGTTTGTAATCCTTGTTTTCAGATTTCGTTCTTGTAGAAATTTTTAAGTGGTACTTGTATAAATAATGTTATCTGTTCTCTTAATCCAAGTGAGTAATTTGAATCTGAAATTTTAATTTTTATGTGCAGCTCTAAGGGGGTTCTATTACGATCTTAGCACTTTTTGAGCAATAAGCAGATGTCCACTTAAGCGAAATTATATGCACATGGATGCATTTGTGGTCATTATTTGGTGACTTACTTTAGTAAAAGATCAAGATATGATATTTGATTGTGCGGTTCAGTTGTCAACATTGAGAAAGCAGAGTTGGTTGTGCTTATTTATCCTTAAGCAGTGCGGTGCTGGGAACTGTGTATTTGTTAGCAATAGAGTTTTCCCCAAGACTCTTCTCTTTGTTGTTGGAAAATGTTATCTGCTTTAGTTTCCCGGGTCTGTTGAAGTTAAATGGATAAACTGGGATTTTTTGGACGTGTGATGGCCCCCAGATATTGATACCAAAAAACTTTTCCAAGGGGAAAATGAAAATCATTCAAATTTTCTACTGTTATTGGGTTCTTATGGTTGTACAAAGTTCTATTACAAGATAAGGTAGATACTTGTTTTCACATAAATACTATTGCAAAGAATACAATGTACTCCACTTTATTTTGCTACAGCTGGATATACAGACTCAATTACGATGCACTTCAACTAGGTAACAAACCACACTTAAGTAAATTAGCCTGGATTTGACATCCTGTTATTTGGTGGTCCAAACTGATGAAGATTATCAACTGGTGCCCCCTGATCAGATTCACAAATAGTCTTCAGCTGTATCCAGATCCTTCAATATTTCCGACTTAACCTCCTCAGGAAGAATGGCAGAAGGCCCTGCCTTGGAGTAAAAGCTGGCCAAAGATCTGATTGCTTTTTCAAGTTCAACGTATGATTCCTGCAAAGGAACACCAAGATAAAGCAACCAAACCCACAAAGGATCTCAAGTTAAAGCAGACTGACAAAAAGACACATACTTCACTGATCACTGCCTGTTGTCCCTTCCAATTGCTTAAATAATCTCGAATGGATTCCTTTGCAGCATCTGCTGTTCTCCTAAACTTAGTTAGGTCCTTGGGATCTTCCTTTAATGATTCACGCAATGTCTTTACAACTTCTCTCGCTGACTTCAAGTATGCCTTGGCAACAATTTTCCAGATTTTGTTTTCTCGTTAGGATCAAACAGTGATTTAACGGTGCCAAGGACTCCTTCATCCTCTTTCTCCTTGCTGTTCGACTTTTCCTCAGCCCAAACTGGTAATGGCATCAAGCTACTGCTGTTAATGGCCAGAATAATGACCAATGATGGAGTTGCAGAAATCATGACATTCCGACGGCTTGATATAACTTGTTCACATTGTGAGATGGATTGACACCTGGGTAGCAGTTTATCTGTTATTTGCAGAGGAACTGTCAATACAGGAATGAAGATGAAGATGGAGAAGCACATTGGGGATGGCAGCATGTGGAGTTTTTGCGACAAGAGTAACGTTCAGCTGATAACCATAAAATGGTTATAGAAAGAAAATGTGTACTGGTCATAAGTTAGTCGGTTTATTGACATCCCAGTTTTAGAGTTAGGATCTGGGGTGATGAGCAAGATGTGAGAAATACTAAGGGGGCAACACTCTTCTCAGCAAAAATATGGGCTTACCTATTGTCTCCAAGACTCCTTCTAATCACCAATACATAGGGTTAAATTGAATGTTAAAAATTCAAATCTCATTAAAAATGTAAAATGTATGACTTTATGAATGTAATATATATTAACGTTAATCAATTTATAATGTTTGATTCAATAAAATTAAAAATTTAACTTCTAATATATTAGCGAAATTGTAGCAAGATAAATATTTTGGAATGTTTAGGTTCTATTGGTTGAAACAAATATAACGGGTGAAAAATAAATAAGTTGATATTAATCGACTTATAATATTTAATTCAAGAATATAAAATATTTAGATCACTAGTGTAGTTGTGGAAGTATAGTTAAAAAAATATTTTGGGACAGTTAGTTCTCTTAGTTGGAACAAAGTGAACATATCGAAAAACCCGACCTCACATTTCAATTCCAAAACGAAAAAGCAATAGAGGCTGGAGATCACTTGTACTAACAGTTTAAACTAGTTGACCTCAGAAGTTTGGAATTTGGTCTCCCAATGCTAATAGCAAGTTCAATAATTGACTTGAACGAGATAACAAATTAACTCAAATATTCTTTTTAACCAAATTGGCTTATGAACGTTTGAGAAAACAGTGATTAATTGCTCGAATTCAACCATCATCCCTCCTTTGGCAGTGAAAACAGATTTGAATTTACTTACATTGATCATCAAGTTTCTGCAGTGTTTTGGAAATATTTGGGAAGCATATCTTGGCAGCCATCTTCTTCTCCTTCAACCAACACTTACATAATCTTCATTCTACTGAACTGCAGCAATCTCTTTCTTGAATTCACACAGCATGAAATAGAAATCAGTCTCCTATTCAACCTCCTACCCTACAACACTACTCTGAAACAACTAAAGGAGAAACGGCTTATGAATTGCACAATGCAATATGCTATAACTCTTCGTTTCTTACTTCGATGAACAATAGCTACTTAATCAATAGAGATAAGATATAAGGAACAAGTTTATCCAGTCGTCTTCTTACCTTCTTTTGCAGGAGGGAGACCCGCTTTCTCTTCTTCAATTTCTCTTCAACATCTTTTCAGGATTTCGCTCCTTTATCTGGTTCCGAATGGCCGAACGGCTATGCTTTTTGGTTGAAGAATAGGGACAAATTAGTCATTTCAAGCTCAGTACTTTGGCTTTTAATTTTATAAAAAAAATTTCCAATCCAACGGCCACTAGACTTTAATCTCCGACCTCATCATTAAACTATACAGATTATATTTGTCTCTGCGTAACACCCTAAATATTCTCTGGAGGCAGGGTTTAAGTTAGAACGAACACCCCCAGCTAGACCTAGACGAGCTTCTCCCTTCTGTTGGCTGAAAACTTGTACGTAAGAATCCTAAAACGGAAACAGAAGAGTAGACATGGTTAGTACTGCATGTTCACTTCGCTAATCTTCAGATTACTAGTTTCATATTATCTGCTATAGAATCTCTGATGTCGGTTCTGTTTGTTTGCATAAATTTCATTAGTCGCTTGTGGCGAACGAGGACTTTCAACATATACTTCGTGTACTGAATACGAACGTCGATGGTAAACAGAAGATCATGTTTGCTCTCACCTCTATCAAAGGTATTGGTCGCCGTTTCGCCAATGTCGTGTGCAAGAAAGCCGATGTCGACATGAACAAAAGGTTCGCCTCTTCTCAGTCTCCCTCGTCACTTTGTATCGATGTCCAAAGTGAAATTTAAGATTGAATTTGGCTTTTGATTTGATTGGTGAACTGTTCGGTTTTTATTTGCTTTTGGTATTTGGGTTATTATTTCTTTGGTTACCTACTTACTGTACCTTTTCTGGCGTTACTTGCAATGACGTTTTTGTAGCTTCGTTCTTCTGCTATAATGGATGAAGTTCAAATTTGTTATCGAATTGTTTGGATCCGAACATGATTTTTCTTCCTAGATTTGAATCTCACTGAAAGAAATAAAACCCGCCACATAGGTTGATCAGTCTACTGGTTTCACTTTTAGTTATGTGCTTCTGTTCTTTACAATTCAAATCTGAGTTGAGAACATTGTTTTCCTTGGTCCAGCTAATGTCCTTTGTGTTTGGCCTATATTTTGGTTTCTTTTCTTCTATATTTCGTATGAAGCTTGTGTTGTTTTGCTTGTTCTTATCCATATGCCTTTTTCCCAAACAATTGGAACGTATTACAATCATTTTATCTGCAAATGACTCAATAGTTAATTTATTTATAAGTAAGGTTTTATGTCTGAATTAATCATAAAATCTTTAAATATTTTGAATTGGTACATTTGAAATACGAACAGTTCAACTATTTCTTTGCTCTTAACTTATGAGTTTATTTTCAGATTTGATAGATCTTAAAATTAGCTTCTTCAATTTTATGTGAAATTAGGCTCAAAATTAACTTAATGGTAAAAAAAAAAAACTTTCAAACATTAAAATTATAGATTTGAAAATGTAAGGCACATTATATATATTTATAGATACTTGTAGATTTGTTTTTTTTCCTAGTGATATTGTTTTGGCTTGAGCTTTACTAGAATTTTTCTTAATTGGTTTATTCAGAGCCGGTGAACTATCTGCCGCTGAACTGGAGAACCTGATGTCCATTGTGGCAAATCCTCGCCAGTACAAGATCCCTGATTGGTTTCTGAACAGGCAAAAGGATTACAAGGATGGCAAGTATTCACAGCTTGTCTCCAATGCATTGGACATGAAGCTTAGGGATGATCTCGAGCGCTTAAAAAAGATCAGGTTTGTTGTTATTGACGTTGTACTTAAATACATACTTAGTTGGCATAAATAGTGATCATCTAAAGGGGGTGAATAAGTGATTCAAGAATAATCTGTATAAGTTTGAAATTGTCACAAGGAAAAATGGTATAGAATAAATTAAAGATAAGGTAAGTAGAGTAGTTATTTATAATGGTTTGAAATCTTTAAATGATATACATTTGCTACCTTGACTACCTAGATGTAATGTAGAGGTAATTCAAGAATAATATGTATAATTTTAAAAAGTATCACAAGGAAAAAATGATAATGGAATAAGTTAGAAACAATAAAGTAAAGAACATAATTATTTATGGAGGTCAGGTCTTCAAAGTATTTACACGCACTACCTTGACCACCTCAAGGGGTAAATGGGTGATTCAAGAATCACGTGCATAATTTTAAAGATTACCACAAGGAAAAATATTATTTGACTAAATTGAAAAGAGTAAATTAAATAATATGATTATTTAGGAATATTCAGTCTTCAAATGATATACATCCATTACCTTGACCTCCATTAACTAAGGATTTCTACACTTTACTTAAAAATGAATTACACAGTAGTTTCCAATGGCTAAGGCATAACTAAAAACCCCATGCTTTCAGTAGCTTAACTGCAATCATTCTCTATTTTTCAATTGTTTGGGTAGAACGAATTTCCTAGCTTTTCAATGATTTAGGTAGAATAATGACTTCTAAATTTGTTTTGGCACAACCCAACTCTATTAACTTAGACTTTCCTGGAAGTCTGGAATTACAATCAGTCAATAACAAACCTCTTGAAGGTTGATTTCATGAATTGGAAGTTATAAGCACCAACTTAAACTTTCACTTATTTTCTCCAATGCTTCTCCAACCTATTCTCTAGTTCGTTCTGTAATTTTCTTTCTCTTCTAGTTGACTGTTCCTTTATATAGAGAATGGGACCTCCAATTATGGAAGGAGGATCTAAGAAATAAATTTTTCAAGTACTGAAATTGTCCAGTTCTTCTATTTATCTATATCTCCATTGGTTAGTAGTAAAAGGCAATTAATGGATCTACTTCATATTAGCTATTGCTGCATTTTTAGTATTAAGCACAGACTTGGTTTTTTAATGACAGGAACCACCGAGGCCTGCGACACTACTGGGGTCTCCGGGTTCGTGGACAGCACACAAAAACAACTGGCCGCAGGGGGAAGACTGTCGGTGTCTCGAAGAAACGATAAGTTGGTGTCCACTTTTGTGGGAAAGTGCTCCAAATGCCGACTTCTGTTATTGGGTTTCTCTCAGTTTCATAGTGTGTTTTTTTGTTGAGTAGAAGTTTTTACTCTGGTATATACTGTTGCCTTTGAACCATAGTTTTGTTTTCAAAGACATTCTATGAGATGAATATAATTATAAAGAATGTTAAGCGATGAAAATGGGTTTTTGTTTGTTGAGCTTGTTAATGTTGGGGGGCTAATTGGCATGGAGGCTTGGTTTTACTCGGTTCAGTTCTTGGGTATGTGCAAGCCTCGCGTACGTATCATGTTTATATTTAATCATGATATAGTCCCGGCGGTTGCTGACATGCTGCCTCCTTTTTACTCCATTTTGATTTGGCATGATATGAATTGAAATTGAGACGATTTGATTTGATTGTTGACTTGGATTTTATTCTTGCTCGGTTCTCGGTTTGATATAGTTTTAGACTAGCGAACACCTTAATTTACATGTTAAATTAACTCATGATGGAATGTGATATTGTTGTTTCTTTGGATGATCGTATCATATGTCATTTTACTATAATGTTGTATCCAAAGTAGAAATATGATATATTTTTCTTTCTCCTAACCTTTTTTATTTTGTAAGATCTTGATAGACCCGGAATTTCTTGTGAGAAAGTAATCTTATAGGGGCATATATATTCTACCTCTTAAAATTAAGTCCTCCATATCAGTGGGATTTTCTAACCTATTTTTTTTATAATTTTCTGAAGATTAATTTCCAGACTAAGATAGAAAACTGAGACATTTTCCAACAAGTTTATCTTCTCTGCTTCTCTCTTTATTTTTTGTTTTTTTTAACCGACCAACCAAGCATAACCTACCTTATGCATACTTGGCATGATGTAGATGTAGACTTTTCAACACTGTCATTGTGGAGCTATAGAGGTGACATTGGAGTCGATGGAGGATTTTTCCCTTCAAATCACAGAAGAATCAGTCGTCGTGTATATCCACAACTTGAATGATTTTTAATATAGAGTAAGAAACATTTTTCTTAGTGAATGATTTTTAATATAGAAAAAATTATGGGATAATACTTTTTTAAATCTAAACCTACTTAATTTAATCCACCCAAATACAATAAAATGCTATTTTCTTTTGTTAAATAATAAATTATGAATCTGAAGCGCTTTTGGATTGGTAAAAAAAAAAAAAAAACAGAGGGTAGAATGAACTATAATTTGACTTATCAAAATCTGTTCGAACGCAATCTAATATGTACATGTATTATAATATATAAATATAAAAAGAGTTCAAATTTATATTTTATACAGACAGGTGGGGCTCATAAATAGTGAAACTCGGTCATTGCCATCCTTAGAAAATCACAGTATAAACATTTAAAAAATGTTCATTGATATTAGGAATTAATTTCCATAAAAAAAAAGTTTAATTAAATAATTATATTTTTTAGATTTTATATATTTAAATAAATAAAATATATTTTAAAGCTAATAATGCGCTATAATATTATATATATATATTTCAATTTTAAATTTTATTTCACAAGATAGTCACTGAACGTACATATATATTTTAATTTCAAACCCATTATAGACGGCCCACTCGTCATGAGAAAGAAGCAAACCCACGCTCCCTGTGAGTTTTCCCTCACTATTTCCCATAACAAAGTGAGGCTGAGCTCAGCTGGATAAGTTGAATTTAATCTGACCTTAAACGACATCGCTTTTACCAAAGAAAAAACAGGATAGTGTATTCATTAAACGGCGTCGGTTAAGGATTGCCCTCAAACGGAATCTATTCCAGCTTCGAAGTGAAACCATAAACCATCTGCATCTCTCCTGAATGCGAAACAGACGCAAAATTCTCTCCTGAAATCCCTAAAATAAACTGACCGAACTCACCGCCGATTCCCGAGGATGGCCGGTGGCAACCACCCAAAATCCTCTTCTCACAAGCCTTCTTCCTCCTCCGCCCCGACCGCCGTCGCTGCTGCTGCCGCTCCCTCCTCTTCCCATCGTAAATCACGCTGGGGTTCTGCCGCTACAACCACTACCAGCACCCCCAACAGCAACCCCAATAATAACCAGACACCGGCCGATCAGAAACCGGGCGACTCAAAACTTTCAAAGGCGAACCCTTCACCAAAAACCGGCCCAACGCCCAGCCCGGCCCACCCCAAGACCTCAACTGAACCGGCTCCTCGTTCCTCCGCCCCTGCGCAAATCCCGCCGTTTGCATTCCCGGACCCCGCCGCGTTGGGCCCGCCGCCACCACCAGCATATGGCTTCCACATGCTCGAGCGCCGAACAATTGTTCTCGCCGACGGAAGCGTCCGATCCTACTTTGCTCTGCCGCCTGATTACCAGGACTTCGGTCTACCGCTGTCCCGGCCTGTTGATCCAGCCGCAAATCGGTTCCTGGGACCCGATTTTGGTGGCGGCCCGCCGCGATTGCCTCCTCCTGTGAGTCCGGATGCGTTCCGCGATAACCGGGAGTACTGGAATGGACCTGATGGGTCTGCGAAGAGGAAACTCCACGGCAGTGTGGATGAAAAGGCTGGCAGAGACGAGAAGGAAGAACTAATTAGGCAGAGGCAGCATTTTATGCAGTACGCAAACCCGAATGGCTACCCGATGGGTTCTGATCGTCGTGGTGAGTTTTTGGCACGGACGAGCAGTCCATCTAGGAGGGACTTGGTTGATGAAATGAGAGCAACCAAGTACATGAGGATCGGCGGAGGGCATGACAGTGGAGGCACTGGGCTTAAGCATCTTGAGGTGGACCAAATTAAGTTGAAGAAGGCGTGTTTCCATTTTGTTAAGGTGGTTTACGAGAATCCATCGCTGAGAAAGAATTACTTGGAGGATGGCAAGCAAGGTCGGCTTCAGTGTCTTGTTTGTGGCAGGTTTGACGAATTTGGGATGGATTTGACTCCCTGGTTTTACTTGTTTGCGCTCTTTTCAGTGGAATTGGTAATCGGGCTGTTATTCTTGCTTGATTTGCTGTTATACTTCTCAAAAATATAACGAGAAAAAAATAAAGAAAAACTTACGACCTTTGAGGTAAACCATTTCTAGATGACATTGTTGAGTTTGCGGTTTCATGATTTGGCATTTCAGTTTGGCGGTTAAACTAACTAAATAGTGGATCTCTTTGGGAAATTCCAATTCAGAGAGCTTGCTGCTCTTTTTCATTAGTCAGGTCTCCAGGATAGGGGTAGGATTGTGTTTGCATTGCGTTGGGATAGTTATGTGGGTTAGAAAGCTCCCTTTTCAGTTTGAAGCTTGGAGATTTCGTGTATACTAGAGAATGGGTTGTCTTGACTTGGCACTTCAGTAGTCTAGTTTTCATGTTGATTTTGAATGTTTCTTGAACTGAGTTGGTCAGGAATTTTGGTTGTCTAGTTTTCATGACCTCATATAGGCCTGAGTTGCATGATATTTACATGCATTCTTGCATGGATATATGGTGTGGTGAACTGTGGTATCTGCAGGATCACTTAAAGTCAGTATCAGGTTTGATGAGTTCGAAAAATCATAATCTCTTAGCAAAATTTTAGATTGTTTGGTTGGGAGTATTTTAGAGAAATGGCAGTATTTAACATCTTCTAGTTACTCTATAGATATCTTTGTTGTTGATTCTGCTGCTCTCGTTCGTTTCTGTGTACATCCACTTTTTCAAGTTTTCTTGTTCTTTATGAAAGCATGTATAGTTTAACGTTAACAAAATATGCACACTGTTTATTTGAGTAGTTATAAAAAGAGGGTCTTGTGATTAGGTATCAGTGCTTTTTTAACTGCATCAATAATCATAATTGTCTGCTAGTTGGATTCATTTTATTTTTGTAAATCCATCTATACTGTATGACGAATGACAGGAGCTAACCATGAACATTGGAAATCTATTGTGGAAACTTACTAACTTGAAGCTTTTGACACTTTAACCCTCTAGCTGTTTGCCTGCTCCTTTCTCCATTGTGCTGGGACCTGGTTTTCCTTATAAATTATGTTGGAATGGTGGAATAGTTGGTACCATAGTTAAGAAGTGAAAAAAATTATTTCCCTTGCGAAATACCTTGCATATGGATATGTTTGAGAAGGTTGCGCAATTTCTTTGGGAGATTTCTCTAATGTTTGATTTCAGAGTGCCTTGGTTTCCTACTTTTTTTCTTTTTAGAATAAAAAGTGCTCATTTTCCTACTTTAGAAGTTAGCTCTATGTTATGTTTGGTTAGCTACATTGACTTGGTTATGAACAAACATCGGGGAATAGTTACTTCTCACTAATGTTGTGTAATTCAGATTAATTAATCAATTGTTCATTTCTTGATGATGCTAGCTTACCACTTAGTAACTAGTGCTACCTGAGTGCATAACTTTAAGAGCATGCTAAATAGTTGTGGGTTTCTGTTCTGGTTTTTGTAGTAGTAACAACTCATGCTCAAAACACTTACTTTTGAGCTTGTTAGTACATGAAATAGGGACAGAACCATGGACTATGGTTTTGTTTATGGGTGGAAAACCAATAATGAAATCTATTGGTTTTTTAAAAAATTTTATTGCCATAATACGCTAACATTGGCTTCGTTTGTGGATGTACTACTCTAGCTAACTTAATGTGGGGAAGTTAGAGATTTCGTATTCTTCATTCGTATATAGTTTTCTGAGGTTGATTGAATTGTACTTGACTGTCAACTTCTTATTTTAGTTACCAAGCTTTGGTGTTTATGTTAATGCTGGTTTTATGACATAAAACCATCATCTATTGGGAGGTTTACAGGTTCTCTGACAAGCTTTAGTTTTACGGTGTAGTGTTCATAATTCAGGGATAGCTGTGTACTTTGTGATAGAACAGCTGATACCTGTTTGATGCTCTAACTGCTTGAAGTATCATATGGAACTATGATTATGCTCTTCGAATATGCAGTTTGTTATCTAAGAGTAGTGTTAGTCTGACAAGGTAGAATTACTTCACATAAAACTATTGTTTAAGGGTTTGTTTGACTTGTCATTTAAAAAAAAAAGTTTGTTTTGACTTGGCTGATTAGGCATTAACTGATTATAATTCTTCTGCTAGTTGTTTTAACTTTCTATTTTATTATGCCATACACGGTCCTTATTTGGGCAAGTTGGCAGCAGGTGGAATGTAACCTCCCAAATGAGATTGTCAGTGGTCTTTGGTCCTTGTAGTTAACTTTTAGTGGCACAACATTTTATTTTAAAATATCATCAGGAAAATGCAGGAATGCTATCTGATGTGAGCAATTGGCTAAGCAATTGTCAAATTAGCCTCCTTTGAACTTATTATGCAGTGAATTGATTACTTTGTTTTAACAATTGTTTTTGTAAAGAAATATGTGGAAGTTTTTTTTTTTTTTTTTGAAAAAAAAGGAATTATGTGGCAGTGCTCTGAAACGGCCTTGTTTAACATCCTATGACGATTATGTAGTTTCCAACAGTTTATCCAGTTGGGTGTGTAAAATCTGTTTAAGCACCAATTAGTAAGATATAATCTTTTTTTTGGTGTTCTCACAATCTGTGTTTCTAAATCATTTGCTTGTTCCTACTGATCTCAGAAGTTAAATATGGTTTTTCTTTTTTCAGCCATTAATTCTCAGTATCTTCATTTCTTGTCATTTTTATTGATTTTTGTGTAGTTTAGTAGGACATATTCTGTAACTTCTACTATTCTAGATATAGTTTGATTCCTAAATCATCGTTCATTTTGTACATCAGGGATTGGTTTGTTGGCATACCTCCGCTATGTAGTAGCATGTAGCTTAAAATAATGATTTTTTGGGTACATCTCTGTTGATAATCCCTAAAGGTTTTGTCTCCTTGGGGTTTCCTGTTAACATAAAGTTGTATTGTTGTCTTGGCCTTCTTTTTCCACCCTTTGATGTTAGAAGTTTCTTTAACCAAATCATTCAATGACCGTGTAAGCATCGAATTTTGCATTTGGTAGAAATATCTTGCAAGGAATAGTTGTTTCATCAACAGGCTTCATAGTTACGAACCATCTTGTGGATGCGCAGTTGAAAGGGTTACTATTACTAAGTAATAGTTGGAAAACACTGTCTCCCTTGTCCATTAAAAAAGCATTGTCTCCCTTATGTGAACTTACTTCTAACAAAGTTAAGATCCCTAGCTTCAGAAACGTTAGGATTACTTAAATATCTTAGAAGAACTAGTGGTTTTACCGAGATAACTGTGTATTTTGCCTGGATTACATGAGAGGCATATTATTGAGTTCTTCTGGTTTCTTGCTTCAATGTTCTGATGATCCTGACTGTGTTTTTTGCATGGCCTCATATTTCGATTTGCCAGTGGGTATTTACTATTTATAGTAGCCAGTTTTAGTTGCTGGCTCCATATTCAAATTTAAGTATGGAATGAAAGCCCTTGTAGAATTTCAATTTTGGGACTGATAATCTACTTGTAGAGTTTTGCTTGTGTGAGACTAAGGTGAGTAGCTTGCTTAGCTAGCACATGTGTCTCCTTTTTGCTTGTAATGATTTAATAGTTGTGATCTAAGAATTTGGTTAATTTTGCATCAGGAATCTGATGATGGTGCAACCTGTATATCCATTTAGTATCCAGTATCAGTGAAATGGAACCTATGCTTCTCTAGATATAAGAACTTCTGTTAAATTATTGTTGATTCTAATTTTCTGCTGTTTAATTCTCCATCGGCCTTGCGATTTTGCTGTGGCCGGAGACTGACTGCTATATAAATGATTGTCTTATTTTTCTTTGTAAAACTTCGTTCTAACTTTTTATTTAGACCAGGATTAATGAAGTTAATTATATTCCCTTTGTCTCACTGATTTTTTGCACAATTCATATGGAAACACAAGCAGAAGTCTGACGAGGGAACTTTCAATCAATTAGGCTCTAACTGCCAAATGCTTCCCTAAAAATTTTCGTAAACCATTTTTCTGATATCTTTGGATGCTTCCACATTGAAGTAACCATGATATGCATTATTTGTG